GAGCACATATGCATTTAATGACACACTCGTGTATGCAGATAGGCCTGCAGACAGCTGTGTAGACGCTCTGTGGTTTGTTTCCTGATGTTTTCCACACAAGCCATTTCAAAGTCGGGACGGCTGCAACGGGACCTCCTCGTTCTTTGTTCTACTCCTTCTCTTCTTGCTGCAGCTGGTCTATGGCTTGTGACAGATCCTCCAGCCTTGGTGTGTGTGCTGATTTGCAGCATGCATAAGTGTGTTTGTGTGTGTGTGTGTGTGTGTCTGAGAGTGTGTGTTTGTCTCTGTGCTCCTCTCTGCTCCCCTCTCCTGTCCCACTTCAGCCCAGATTAGAGCGTCCGTCTCCTGAGGGAGACAAAAATATAAAAATAAAGCTTTTTACCAGAACACTGATCTAAACACACACACACATATATTGCACAAATGCACACGCACACACTAACGCTAAGGGTGCATTATGAAAGCCTACGGAGAGTGTGGCAGAGAGAGCCCTTTTACAGCAGAATCCCAAAAAGCCCTTTTTGTCTGAGTAGTCAGCAAACTGCAGAGATAGATAGCAAGACAGACAGTTAGATAGTACATTCTTTATAAATTGTTTATGAGTTGTATTACATGGGTTTACGGATCACTAATAAGCCATTAATAAAAATAACTTGCCAGTTGTGAAAATACCTTTGGCTGTTGGTTATCCTCCAGTAACCTGCTTTTTTAATTTAAAATTTGAAAATTAGTTTGAACTTGCTTTAAGTGTAATGACTTCAAAATTAACTTAAGAAAATGCAACAGTATATATAGTACACAAAGCTTTCAGGTCTGTGAAGTGAAGCCAACGTGGAAGTGTTACATTCTATGTAATGGCCAACAGGGGGAGGTCAAAAAAGTCAGATAGTGTGCAGTCTTATAGAGAAATGACCCAACTTCTCACCTGATTTATTAGCTCAGAAAACAGTTTCCTAATGAGTTTTTGGTCTCAATAGTTTCAACTTTTCTTCCAAACTGCATGATGTTAATTTAGTTAATTATGGTCCCATTTACAGTAAAATAGATGATAGAGCAGGGTAGGATTTAGGGTGGGGCTACCTTGTGATTGACAAGTCAGATCAAAAAACCCAGATCACACTGTCAAACTAGGCAGAGCTGATCAAATGTAAATCAAGATTATTTTAATGCTTAGTGTATTTCTTGCTTTAAATATTCAGAAACAGAAAAAAAATATTTTAGTGTGTGTTTACTGTATCTGTAATATGAGAATGTGTGCCAGGCGAGCCACCACTGTTTCCTGCTACAGAGAAGTCAAAACTACATAGCCGCTGAGCACAGCTCGCAGTATGTCATCGCCACTGTCTCCGAAAAACTGCCATGGTGACGGCCATAATGTCAAACTCAGGGTTCAAAACAGTACTCCACAAACCAATGGGTGACGTCGCGATAGGTTGCTTTGAAGTAGTTTGCCTAAGGCATTCCCTTATTGACCTGTCAATAAACTAAGCTAATTATGATGTGTGGAAAATGAAGGAAACTAGCGAGCAAATCGTGGAGCAGAGCTGCCCTAAGTGGACAGTCGCGACACCAAAACATCTCAGAAGCAGTGTGCTTCTGTCTTTGTACAGAGCCGCTGTCTAACTTTACAATGACAACAAATCTGCAGACTCACTTGCAAACATTAGCATGCCACCCAAGTGAGGCAGCGGAGTGGAGGCACCACAGACAAGTGGAGCAACATCAAGTTTACAACCTCATCTGACTGCTACTATTTGACACACTCCACTTCAGCAGGCCGCTTGCCAGAAGTTAGCAAGATTTATATGTAAGGATGCAGATATGTGGCCCATTGGTGTGGTAAGTGCGAATGTCTCATCCTATAGTAAAGTCTTTAGGTTACGGTTTTCCATGTGGTGTTATACAGTTGTACTATGTGTTTGGACACAGTACAAGAGTCATTTGTTTTGAAAGTATTTGGTCATAAGTGTTGGACAAAATTAAAAACTTTGACCTGATGGCGCTTTAACAAAAAGTTAAGGAAACACCAAAGTTAACCGAATTTATCCTAAGGGGAACATAAATGTTTAGCACTAAATGTCATCGCAATCCATCACATATTTAACTAAAAAACCACAAATCTCATATTAACTTATACAACAGCAGTCATGGCGGCCTATTAGAAAGTGAGAAACCTCTGACTCATGGACTTTTGAATAAGCCATTAAGTTTGCAGTTATGCTCCCGAGTCACTAATTAAGACAACTTAAAAGTAATGCGTGAAAGTTTAATCTTGACCTTAAAAAAATAGTCATCTGACCAAATAATCTGCAGTCTGATGTGTCTCCTCCTATGTGTTGCTTTAAATGTTTATACAATAATAAGATGCTTTAACCACAAGTTAACCACTTTTTAAAAAAGAGCTGCGTATCAGGGATATAAAGGGATCAATAAAGTGAAGTCTAAGTCTAACTCTATCCTAAACAGCTTATCACAAAGTGGTAAACACACTTTATAAAAAACCTTCAGGTTTATAGTTACAAATGTTAGTAAGTCATTAAAGGAATAGTTCAACATTTTGGTAAATTTGCTGTCTTGAGTTTAATGATTTTATTGACACCACTCTCTTGCCTGTATGGTAACTATGATGCTACCGTTAGCAGCTGGTTTAGCTTAGCATAAACACTAGAAACAGCCTGTCTCTGTCCAAAATAAATTGACCTAACCTGAAAAGCTCACTATTTATGTTACATCTCATTTTTTTAATCTATTAAGTGTAAAACCAACTGTTTGTGGTTTGTATGTTTGGCTAAACTAAGCGCTTCTATCTTAAAGGACCAGGGTGTTGGATTTAATGGCATCTAGTGGAATAGCTACAGATTACAATATCTTCGCCTCACCCTCCCATTCCTAGCATGTAGGATAAACTATGGTGTCCGCAAAACCTGCAACAGGTTCTATCTACAGCCAGTATTTGATTTGTCCATTCTGAGCTACTGTAGAAACATGGCAGCCAGAAGAGGACCCGCTCCTTCTGTAGATAAAAACTGCTCATTGTAAGGTTAGAAACACAAGTTTCAGGTGATTATACACTAATGAAAACATACCTACCAATATTATATTCCATTTCTGCCAATAGCTCCTCCTAAATTTTACACACTGAACCTTTAAGTTTCATATTTACTGCACAGACAGTGGTATCCATCCTGTCATGCAACTTTCAAGAAAGTGAGTGTGCCGAATACAAAAATGACAAACCTCTAAACAAGGTAACCCCAAAGTTGTCCTTATCAATGGCTTATTACTGATCGATAAAGCATTAATAATTGTTTTGTTAAGCATTAACACTTTAGTTACACAATCGCTAGATAAAAAAAAAGATTAATCAACAAGACCCAGACAAGTAGAAAAATGTAACCTTTACTTATTTACAGATTGTACAGAGGTACTGAGTGACAAGGTAGTATTTACAACACAACTAGTAGCTTAGAAACCCCTGAACTTATACACAAGTGAGATACACAGCAGGGAGACCCAGAGGACTACACACCAACGCACTCCTTCCACCCAGTACTGTATATGACATGTGTACACCTGGACCAAACTGGAACTGTGCTGAGCCTGGGAACGTTTCCCTCATGTTCCTCGACGGCGGCTGGCGTTGTGCAGGAGCCAGCTGGGTGCCACATCATTGACATCACAGGCCAGGAGTTGGGAGCATCCAGGGCTCGAGTCAGACGTGGCGCACTAACCACAGTGGAAGGGAACGTTGGTGCATGTAGCCCAGTAGGTCAACTCAGGGAGAACTCAGGTGTTGCAGCAAAATAGGTACCACCAGAAACACAAGCACGTCATGCAATTTAAAAAATCAAAAAATCAAACAAAAGGTTGGTGTAAAAATCTCTGTGATGGTGGACATACAAAACTCACTCTACATGCTCTCTTAACCACATCAGTACAGACGCAACATGTGTGTGTGCGTGTGTGTTTGTGTGTGTAACTGTATTTGTGTTTTATGAGTAAGAGCCAGGTCAAATGTTATGTGTGGGACGAAGGGAAAAGAGTACAGAAAACACACACACACACACACACACACAAACACACGCGCACCACAAACAAGCTCTCGATACACATATCATCCTCTGTCTTATATAAATGCCTGCATGGTGTAAAACACACACACACACACACACACACACACACACTCGCTCGCTCACACTCAGAGGTGAAACAGCACAGACTCGTAGTGGAAGAGAACTATGTGGGTGGGAGGGGGTTTGTATTAACCACACAGGCTGGACTATCATTATTCATTGAGTGTGATTCAGATGAGAGACCCAGCTACGTGTTGCTAGTTATCTGGTTAGCTGACGGGGATAGTTAACTAGTCTGTTAACCTACCAGTGAGGACTGTACAGTGAGGTCCCAACCAACAACACACCAGAGGGAAAAAAAGAAAAGAAAAGAAAAAAAGAAAATCACACAAGAATCTAAAACATGCCAGTCTTTTTTTTTTAAAGAAGCAGAATAAAAAGCCACGTTGTTATTGAAATGAATTCAACACTTAATACCATTCAAATCAAACAAATGAAATCAGTTTCTAACAATTAAAACAAAGATTTCTCTGTACAGAAGTATAATATTGCAACCTGATATTGTGCATATAACTCACACACCAAACCAAAAGAGGGGCAGTGCTCACCATTCAAAGGTGCGATTTTTTGTTCAAACTGTCTTGCATTCTTTGCAGCCATAATATGATAACTATAATTATTGTGTGTGTGAGAGTTGATAAAGAATAGAAAGAAAGAGAATAGAGACAGACGCTCAGCTAATGGGATATCAAGTCCTTTTTCCATCAAAATCCTCATGTTCAAAAATCAATGCCCTTATTCAGTAGATTATGGATTTCTAGAACACTCATACACACATTGCCAGCTCGTCGAGTGTGTGTGTATATGTGTGTG